GGTACAATGACCCCTTGCTCATTGACCTCTCTCATTTGTACCATATTAGAGAGACATTACAGTTGTCCTAACTTTAGCAAGGCTAAGTGCGTTTAAATTGGCCTATCAAGAAGATGGTATGACTTCATACTGTAAGCATAATAAATATTTAAATAAACATTTCCATTTCCTCGACCTCTTACTGTGATATGATATTAATTTTGTGTTTTTGCAGTTTGTGTGTGTGTGTGTCTTTCCAATGAAGGCCTCACTCTTATGAGTAAATTGTGATTCATGAGTGCATTATAATTGATCAGTAAATGATCATTTATGAGGAAATTACTGGTCATGGCAAATGGCTGCCCCTCCCTGAGCCTGGTTCAGCTAGAGGTTTCTTGCTGTTAAAAGGGAGGGACGTGAAGAGGGAAGTCTCACTGAGAATATCGAGGATGTACAGATTGTGAAATGAGAAAAGGCATACAGTGTCTCTAAGTGTAGTTTGCTTTGACTGGTGGAGGAGCGCGTTTGGAATAGACTGGTTGGACTTTGGGCAGAACCCATTTACTTGAACATTCAGCAGTAGGAACGTGGATGAAGATTAATTGAATTTAACACCATTGTCCTAATGGCCATGGTTTTAGTGTCTCGGAAACATTTTCTGTGGGTTCTGTTGTGTGCATGTGCCTTCCCTGAAGGCAACAATGGTAAGAAAGCTTTGAGTTATTTAATGTTAAATTAACACAGGCACTTTTAGTAAACAATTGATGGATATGTTAGGGATGAAATCAGACTATTTTATAATTTTGTCAATCTACATAATATTATTATCAAGCAGAAATAATAGTTTCACGGTTCAAGTTTTATTGTCATATACAGATAAACAGTGTAGCCACATTTACCCATAATTAAATTCATTGGCTCGTGTTCCTCAGCTTTACATGAGCCTATAGAAAGTGTGCAGTTATATTTAAGAAGAAAATAGCAAGAAAATAACAATAATAATAGTAATAATAAAATAAAAAACAAACAAACGTTCCTGGTAAGTGAGTTTTGTGTTTCTAGTTGTGATGGACTTACTTTTTACTGCATGTGTTAACCATTAAAAAATAACACAAACAATTTGTTTTTATCTGTCAGTCTCTCATTTTGTTCTCCCAGTTCTCTCTATTTTCATTAATTGTTAAATATGCAACATTAAAATCTTGTTCAACAAGTTCAAAACAGAATATTTGGCATGTTTCTTTTTTACTGATTCAGAGCTTCAACTAATTTATTTGTCATGTAACCTGTGAAAAAAATTAGAAAGATCAACTATCATAGTTTTTATAAGCAATTTTCTAAATTAAGGCTATTGAATAATATAAAAAGAGGCAAAAAGAAGTATTTACACACTAACCATGTGTATCTTTCCTGCAGGCAATAATGATAAGAAAGATTTAACTCATCATATGTTAAACTTAGAGCGCACTTAACAACCTGTTTATAAGTTGTAGAATGAAAGTCCTTCATTTGTGACCAGTTGTTAAATTTGCAATGTTTAAACTTTTCCTGCCATGATGCCAGGTCTGTCTTGGAAATTCGATTTTTACCTGGAAAAATAAAGGATTAATACAAAAATAAAATAATAATAAATATTCAGATATTTACACCTGAAATCAGCCAGTAAATTATCTGTATTTCATTTCTTAAATCACTAGATTCATAATAACATTCTTACCTTCTGTTAACAGAGCTTTTATCCAATAATCTCAATGATGTAGCTTTACTTTCCATATTAAAGCTACATAGTTGACATACGTATGTTAAAGTGACACTTTTTTTTTTTAAATCTCTCTCTCCCTTTTAGGCACTTCAAACAATGCTAGAGGAGTGAAAGGAGCAACTGGAGCAGGTTTAACACCTCAGACCATAGATAAAGATAGATTTTCAGAACAGGCACTGACGTTTCTAACTGGCCCTGTGTCCACCATCCTTTTACCTTCCTTCTACACCCTGGTCTGCTCCATCAGTGTGCCAATTAACATCTGTGCCCTGCTGGCTTTTGCTCGGGGGATCCGTCCTAAGAAGCCAGCTGCAATCTATATGCTGAACCTGTCCTTAGCCGATCTTCTCTTTGCACTGATGCTCCCCTTCAAGATCTCCTACCACTTTGAAGGCAACGACTGGAAATTTGGCCCATCCATGTGCCGTGTGGTCACTGCTGCCTTTTACTGGAACATGTATTGTTCTGTTCTTCTCATAGCTTGCATCAGTGTGGACCGTCTGCTTGCTGTAGTTTATCCAATCGATGCTCTGGCTTGGAGGAGCTCGCGGACCACAGTCATAGCCTGCATAACCATGTGGGTGTTATCCTTCGCTGGCTCTGTGCCTCTTGTTTCTTCTAACCAGACTTTTAACATCAGTGATTTGAACATCACCACCTGCCATGATGTCCACTCACCAAATAAGATCACCTGGTTAAAGACATACTTCCTCACCCTCTGTTGCATTTTTTTCATCCTACCTCTGCTCATCACAGTGGTGTCCTACGCTCAGATAATCTGGTCATTGAGCAGAGTCCAACATGATGTTCCAGGATCATCACAGAGGAGAAGAAGAGCAATGGTGATGACGTTGACTGTGCTGGTGATATTTTTGCTGTGTTTCATGCCCACAAACTGTCTGCTGCTTGCACACTACCTGCAATTTAACACCGAGAAGAGGCAGGCTGATGGCTCTTACATACTCTATCTGGTGTTTCTGTGTTTGGGAAGTCTGAACTGCCTCCTGGATCCCCTGCTCTACTACTTTGGATCCTCACAGTGCCAGAAACAACTATCCAATATGCTGAAGTGTAACAAGGTGACAGAGAGCAGAGATATCACTCATTCAACAACTGATTCCTGGAGATTAAGCGCAAGAACAATGCTGAAACCCAGAAACCTGCAAAATACCAAACACTCTGAATTAAACACATCAGTGGACTCTTTCCAACTTCAACAACCGAAACAAGAAACTACTAGTCTGACTAACTCTCACACTGTGCTGACATTTTAATTAACTCTTATGTCTAATTTTAAAGTTTATTTAAAGTTAAAGTTCATTGTAAAAAAAATTTTTCTATTCTTTAATGATTTTCTTTCTGAATGCATGTTTATTGATTAAACTGTTAATGAACTCGAAGTACTGAGATGGAGTGAAATATCTGCCCTCATAGTTTGTTTTATGCTTCCCCCTGCTGGTGCAAACTTTACATTAATTATTGTATATTTAATTCAAGCTTCTTTATTTTATGAATTGATTTATTTGGAATAACACAATGTATGAATATAAGCATCAAAATAATGCTAACAGATATGTCAATATGTAAAAGTATAGTATCATAAGTGAGGTTGCCTATTTGTGTAAGCTCTTAATCTTACAGAGAAGCTCTTACGTCTGTGCTGGGCTGCAAGTAATGAGTATTTGTTATGGATATTTAGTGTTTTCTGTGAGAAAGAGCAGCAAATAGAGTTATCTTCTCTTTCAATTCCTTAGCTGTTTTTGTTTGTACAACCATCAAACCACACCCTTATACTGAAACCTAGACGTTGGGATACCATCAAATGATATATGACATTTCTAGACACCCAAAAAGTCTTAAAAAATAAATAACTAACATAAAAGGATGTTATTCTTTCATCCCATTTATCCTTCTTACATTTGCATGAAAACCTCAAAAGCTTTGACGAGTTACAGCATAGTTATTCAAGCTCAACAGCTACTGGCAGTATGGGGCATAACAATCACAGCAAATATGTAATAAAAGCCTTGATGTAGATAAAAAAGGAAAATATCAGTTAAAATGTGTCTTATCTAAATGGCTTGCTTGGTGCTTTCCTATTAAATGCATGGTTGTATTTAAACCTGTGAGTTATTCTCTCGCAAGAAAATAAACAGATGTTCCCTTTTGACTCATTCTGACTCCATGTTTTCTCTAGTATACAGGTGTCGTTATTTTGGCTCTTTATCCCATCGGAACTGCCACTTCTTTTTCATTTTTGATGTGATGATTTTATTTCCACTTTACTACCATGAAAACATGAAAAACTATTGTTATACATGAATTTAAAGCAAAAATTATGCCTTATGTCAAATAAATGAATAATGGCAATGATTAATAGTGAGTAATGGTGAACATAAAATTTTTCAAATTAGACTGACGTTATCCAAATGAATGTGAAAAATGTATTTTATATTCCTGACTATAATTTACTAATAAAATGTATTTTCCACGCACAAAACATGTTAAGGTGAACGGGATAAGCCAGCAATTTTATTAACTGCAATGTATGCTCATAATAGAGGTCTTCTTGCCCATTCACAGAAGCAGGGCCCACAGGGCCCCGGTGTTCGCTGACATGAATCTTTCTGTTTAACGCAGGAAAGCTTTTTCCAAAGAAGGCAAAGAAGCCTCGACTGCATCTCTTCACATAAACTGCTGCCTGGAAGAAAAAGAAGAATACACAACTATATATATATATATATATTTTTTTGTCAGTCATCAAGTTACTTGGCTCAATTGCAGCAATACTATTAATAATTGTAACTTCGACATACATGATCATACAAACATTTGTATTTGAAAACAAATGAACATTTTAATTATCACAGCCCATGAGCCAGGGCCAGAAAAAAGTGAGTGGTGGTTGGCTCTTCAAAGGTCCTGATGTGTTTTTCATTCACAAATCACACGATTTTTCCCAGGCTCAAAAATCAGGATAGCTTGTTTGGTACCATGCCTGCACAAGCATGTTAATTAGGCTCCTGTCATCATAATCTGGCAATACAAACACCAGTTACAAACGCTTTATGTTAGAGGTAAATTAACTAAACCAGTCACAGCAGATGGCTGCCACTCCCTGAGCCTGGTTCTGTCAAGAAGTTCAGAATCAGAAT